GTGCCAACCGGTAACCACGTGTACTAGACACACCACGCTTGTGTCACTTGTATATGTGAAGAGAATAATTTCAAAAACAAGAAAAAGGAAAAAAGTTTCTTTCTTGTTTATGGAATATTTCCATATCCAAATATTCCATATTATACATAGATGCATATGTCGAAGTTCTATAGATTATTTTAATTATTGTGATCACATATAAAAAACCCCTTTGAATTATTTTTGAATTCTTGAAGAACACCAAAAAAGATCAAAGTGTTTGAAGGTGAACTCAAGAAGAACGAAGCAAAAAGATTTTTTTATAAAGCAAGCTACAAGAATAATTCTTAAAACACCCGCATTTTATTTAGACCAAAATTCTTATATTATAATTAAATACATGAAATAATTAAATCCTGCATGTGATGTTTGTCATCACAAGATCATCATAGTCCGAGGGCATCTCCCCAAAAAACTTTTTTAAAAAAATATGCTCTTTATTTTAAAGAGTTAGTTTTTAAAATTATACTCTAAGAGATTCTTTAAATTAACATTTTAAAATAAAAGGTGAGTTTGGAATGATATGGATGTTTGTTTGTTGTCTCAACCATTCTTTTAGTCCTGAGCCCCACAAGGAAATGGGTAATTTGTAACGAAGTTTTCGTGCTGTTGATTCCTGGGTGTAATTCTACTAGTTAGTCCAACTCGTCTTACATGACGTCATCTATCCAAAAGATTCATTAAGACATAAAAAAGCTTATTTACCCTTTATATTTTTAAAATAACAAAAATAAAACAAACTCAAAAATACGACAAAAGATTTGTCCCTCATTTGAAAGCACGCTAACGGAAAATTTTAACAAAAACCACCATCAAGGATAATGTATTTTAATTAATTGAATATTAAGGGCCTTTTCTATGCTCATTTTTGTGAAAAGTTTTGTTACGGGTCAGTAGATGGAAACGACACGCGGCACCGTATTTTAGCGGTGGGACCAGCTTAATCAAATAAAGACATATTTCCTAGCTTCAGACGTGGGTTCCGAGGCCCTCACTATTATTCCGAGGCCACTGCTGCTAACAATAAGCCACGGTTCGGTAAGCATACGTCGTCCGAGGCTCCTTAGCAGCCATTGAAGGCCCACATGCGACGATCCGCTTATGCTGGAGATCTTTGGTGAATGATTGACATGACTCTTATGTAAAGTTCATTTGTGGCTTGTCTTGTCAATGTAAGA